CGCGAAGATACGCTTCTTGCAGCATTTGTATCGCGTGTGCCTCAGTAGCCGTTTTTGCCCAAAGCGCTAACAGCGCCCAAGGCTCCCAGATTCCCTTGGGCTGTCGAGTAGTTCCCGGCAGATTGGCAAATTCAGCATTGTATATCTTGCAACTGTTTGAAACAAAAACAGCGCATTCTCACAGGGGACGAGCTCGGGCGAGCGGGGCATTCAAGAGTACGGCTCTTTCGAGGGAGGGCCAGCGAGGCGGAGCGGCCCGGGCGGGTGGGGCTCTGAAGTGTGTGTGTGTGTGTGTGTGTGTCCTGTGTCGCGTATGTTCAGGCGAAGCAGAGCTGTCGGGCGACACGGGTCGGGCGGGCAGAACATGACAGCTTCGTGTCGAGTCTCTCTTTCGGCTGCGATCGGGCGACGCGGGGCGAACGGAGCAGGGCGAGTCGGGCCAGGGGGGGGACATTGAAGTGTAGGTCTCTCTCTCGAAGCGGGGCAGGGCTGGCCAGGTTGGCGGGGCACTAAAATGCAGAGCTCTCTCGAGCGTGGTCGGGCGGAACGGGGCCAACGAGCGAGGCGGGCCGGGCGGTTGGGACGCATTCGGGTGCAGGGCTTTCTTTCGCGAGCGTGGCCAGGCGACGAAGGGACCCACGGGAGGGGCGGGCCGGGCGGGCGGGGCGCGAACGTGTCGGATGTTTCTGTCGCGCGTGGTCGGGCGAAATGGGGCGAACGAACGTTCGGCCATGCGCAGAGGGGTGGGGTATACGGGAGGGGGGAAGGCTTCCGAGAAGCGCCCCTGCTTCTTAGAAACTGCGGGCCATGCCTGCAGATGCAAGGCCGGCGCCTTCTAAGAAACAGCCGCCTTCTAAGAAGCCTCCCCCCCTCCCCCTACCCCCCCCCTGTGCGCGCCGCCAAGATCGGGCCGAACGAAAGGGGGGGATAGGGAAAGGGGGGGTCACGAAATCTGCTGCATGCAGCTGGTTTCGGCCCCACCGAGGGGCCCATTTCTCGATACATAGCCGCCTCTGGCGCCGGGAGGCGGCGGGAAACTCAGCTCCGCGAGCTGGTTCTCAACCCCCCCTCTGCTATCCCCCCCCCGGTGCGCGCCGCCGAGACGAGGCGGGTCGGGCGCACGGGGCGCCTTGCGTGAGGGGCTCACGCTCCCGCGCGTGATCGGGCAGGGGTGGGGAGGAGGAGGAGGAGGAGGAGGAGGACGAGGAGGAGGAGGAGGAGGAGGAGGAGGAGGAGGAGGAGGAGGAGGAGGAGCAGGAGGAGGAGGAGGAGGAGAAGGAGGAGGAGGAGGAGGAAAATGAGGAAGAGGAGCAGGGCGGGTCGGGCGGGCGGGGCACGAGTGGGCGACCGCACGCGAGCCTACCTTACCCCTGCCCCCCACGATTTCTGAGGGGGGCTGGGGGTATCACTTCGTTCGGGAGCACCCGGGCGAAGCGAGCCCCCGCCCTCCCCTGGAAGCCGTGGGGGGTGGGGGCAGGGTTCGCACGTGGTCGCCTGCAGGGCTGCATCGTGCGCGGTCGCGCGGGCGCGGGGCCAGCGGGGCAGGGCGGGTCGGGCGGGCGGGGCGCTAAGGTGCAGGGCCCTCCCTCGAGCGTTCGCGGGCGGCGCGGGGACCGCGGGCAGAGGGGGTGGGCCTGGCGGGAGATGCAGGCGTGGGCGGGGCGACGGGGCCAAGCGGGTCAGGCGGGCAGAATATTGGAGAGTGCGGGGGGCCCACTCCTGGTGCTCCCCCCTCCTCCTCCTCTTCCTCCTCCTCCTCCTCCTCCTTTCCTCCGTAGCCATTTTGGCTCAAGCCGCATGCTAGGTCGGGGCCCCAGACGCGCCCCTCTCTCCGCTGCATGTCTATGGCTGCTGGCGCTGCTCCGGTGGTGTGCACGTTCATCGGCTGAGATGGCCCACCAGCGCTCGTCGACGGCTCGCGAAGCGCGTGCTCGGCGTGCTCGCCGACTGGGTTTTCTGCATGTTCCTCCTCGTGGCCACCGTTTCATCGCTGTGCCTGCTGCTCTTCATGCGAATGCTAAAAATATGTGCCAAGGACTTGCTTTGCACGCTCGTCTGCAGTCTGGGAACGGTGTTCGCTCCCACGGGCTTCGTCAAGCTGCTCTTCTTGCACGTGATCGGGTGGGTCCTGATGCGACGGCTGCTCATCTTCGTGTTCATATTCAGGCTGGCAGGGCCAAGCAGCGGGTGCCATCGATGCCGCCCGACGCGACCGTCGTCCCGCCGGATGTAGTGCGCACCGCGTTGGTGCTGCAGGATCTCCTCCCTCAGCGCGGCTCTCTTCCCATCGTTCTTGTGGGCATTTGTGCGGGTACTCATTTACACAAGGTGGCTGCTTAAATGTCTTCTATTTCTGGTGATTCCGTCCAAGGTGCTGATGGAGTCAGTGAGCGGCGTGATCATGCTGGTCCACAAGTTGTTGGCCCTCCCTCGCCGCCGTGCGTGTCTTCTGGCTCCGCTGTTCGCCACGTTTGTCAACACGCGGTTGGTACACCTGCTGCAGCTGGACTTCCTGAAGTTGGGGATGTTGGATCTGGAGATCTTGCTCTGCGTCGCCGTGAGCAGTGTGGCCATCATCCGACGCTGCCTGGTGTGGCTGCTGATTCTCGTGATGCTGTTCCAGCTTCGTCTTCCCCGATGCCTGGTGCGGCGGTTGCTCCTTCCTGGGCTGTGCATGTTCCTCTGTGTACCTCGCTGCCTGGGGTGGCTGCTGACCCTACATGTGGCGCACCTGTTCCTCATCGTGATTTGGCTGATTGTTGTGGTCAACATGCTGCTGCTTGGTCTGCTGCTGCTGGTCTTCCTGAAGGCGGGGGCACTGGATCTGGAGTTGTTGCTCAAGCTACGTCGTCCTCACTACCTGGTGCGGCTATTGATCCTCCCTGGGTTGTGCATGTTCCTCTTCGTTATGTGTCTGATAGACGTCCTCATCTTCCTACAGGTATTCCTGATGGTCGTGATGATCGTTCCGCTGCCGCTGCTGGTGGCGCGCGGCGCAGGTCGCTGCTCAGTTTCGGCGTTGGCAAGGGCCGCTCTGACTGTGAGAACGAGCTGCTCCCACCTGGAGGCCGTGATGAGCTTCGACATGATGACCTGGCTGCTCAAGAACAGCGACCATTGCGCTCCAAACAAGACATGTTCGACCTCATGCGGCCGCTCGCTGAGAGTATGCGCAATATGTGCGAGGATATCCACCTTCTTCAAGATCAACTTCGTGAACTTCGTCACGCTGGCAAGTGGGGTGCTCCTCTTCCTGCTGCTGGTCACTATGATCGTGCTGATCTACCTCCTGGCGGTGCGTGTGGCTCTGGCGGGTATCGGGCCGCCCGCGACCGATCGCGAGTTGTTGTGCACGTGGACGCTGCTGCGAGTGGCGCGGCTACGCCTAGTCCTGGTGCTCCTGTGTCTCGACACCCTGAACTTCGAGAAGCTGACCGTGACCTTCGGCATGCTGTAGACGAGCCTGTTGCTGGTGCCCCGCGTGATCGCCCTCTGGTTGCCGCTGCTTCTTGTGGCGTTCTTCGGCCTCCTCCTGGCGAGTGTGACGTTCATTGTGATCGAGCTGCTATTCTGAGTGACGTTGCTGCTCCGCCTTGTCTGGCTGGTCAGTGCCAGGCTTCGCCCAAAGTCTTCGATTTCCACTGCCTGAAGGTCCTCGCTGTCGGCCCGCGGATTGCGACGACGCTCGCATGCAGATACTTTCCAAATTGCCGGTATGGTGACACGTGCAAGTACTCCCATCTCGAGGATATCACGGAGGCCGCGGTTGCTGCGGAGCACGATCGCCTGTCTCGTTTATGCCCGGGTCTTGCTTCGGCAACGTCGTTGGCTACTTCTCTTTGGAGTGAGCGTGCTGCTGGTCGGAATGCGATCGAGATTCATGCACTTCTTCACGATAGCGCTGATATGCGTGAATGTGGCGGTGGTCCCGCATGTGTTGAGCTACGTCCTGATTGTCGTGCGGACTTTCTCCCTGAAAGCGCTGATCTCGGTGAACAAGGTGGTGCTCCAGCGTTTGCCGTGTACCCTCCTGGTGCCCGTGCTGCTGTTCTTCCTGAAAACGATGAACTACATGATTGCGGAAGTGATCCCGCCGCTGGTGCTCTTCTTCCTGATGCCGACCTCCCGCCTGACAGCGCTGATCTACATGATAGTGGTGGCGCCTCTGCCACCGTCGGCCTTCCTCGGGATGCACGAGCCGCCCCCCTGCCTGACGGAGACGCTCTGCATGACTCTAATGGCGATCCCGCCAGTGCTGAACTACCCCCTGGTGCTCGTGCCGTCCGTCTTCCTGACCGCGTTGCTATGCACTCTGGCATCGATTACACCAAATTCGATCATATCAAGGACTCTGACGATGAGTGCGAGAAGTCGGAGGCCTCCCTCGACGAGTTGTTCTTGTCTACGCCTGCCTGCGGCTGCTGCGCCGCACCCATGAAGAAGCCGCTTCGATGCGGTGTTTGCAAGTTGATGGAGTATTGCTCCCCGAACTGCCAGAGGATCGATTGGAAGTACCACAGGCGTTTCTGCAAGAAGCCCGAGAGCTGCGACACCGTCTTCGACCGCCTCGCGGGTTGGTCACCGACTACTTCACAGATGACTATGCCGTTTTCCTCTTCGGGCTGCGGACCCTCTGACGTGCTCTCGCCGTCGCGCTAGTCGGGCGTGAACTCGCGTTTCCTGCGCTTGTCTCCTCCTCCTTCTCCTCCTCATCCTCCTGCGCCTATCGCGTCCGGCCGGGCAGGGTAGTCCGTCGGGCGTGGTACGAACAGTTTAGGACCCTGTGAGGTTCTTGTGCGGCTTTGCCGAAGGTTTTGGGGGCGTGGTTCTCAAGAGGGCTTTGGACGCGTCCTAGTAGGCCCCAGGGGCACCGCAGGCTCTACTGGCCTGGAAGGCTCTGCGGGCCCTGGAGGTCGAGGCGGACCAGGAGTCTTAGGGGGCCCGTGGTGCCTGTTAGGGCCGTGATGGCACAACACCCTCGGGAGAGCTACGCCCCCTGGGGCCCCCAAGACCTCGAAGTCGTGCTCCCAAGCCCTCGGAGGAACACCAAACGAGCGCCTAAGTCGGGACATCCCCTACATCTGGACGCGAACGGGCAAGAGTAGCGCCCCGTGGCGGCTTCCCCGCGGGGTGCTCGAACGGGCGCATTTGTCCGAGACATCCTCGCGCGCTGCTCCCGATGCTGACTTCATTTCTGTGCCCCCTGCCCTCTTCCACCTCGCCCCCCCTAAGCGTCAACCCCGCGCTCGCGAGGCTGAACAATGAAATGTTGAAGAGCCAACGCCTCTTATCAATTGTTCAGTCTCCCCCCCCCCCCCCCTCTCGCTGTCTCCCTCTCTCTCGAGCGCGGTCAGGCGGCGCGGGGCCCGCGGGCGCGGTGGGTCGGGCGGGCGGGGCATGAACGCGCTGGATGTCGCTCGAGTGCCGTCGCGTGGAGCGGGGCCAGCGAGCGAGGCAGGTCGGGCGGGCGGGCCATGGCGGCGTGGAGTCTCGATCGAGTGCGGTCGGCCGAAGCGGGGCCGGCGGGCGAGGCGCGTCGGGCGGGCGGAGCGCTAGAGCGTCGGGTCAGCCTCGGGGGCGCGGTCGGGCGATGCGGGGCGAAATGAGGCGGGGCGGGCCGGGCGGGCGGGGCGTCAGCAGCAGGACTTTCTGTCGCGCGTGGTCGGACGACGTGGGGCCCGTGGCCAGGGCGGGCCAGGCAGGGGGGGGGGGGGCGCGGGGCAATTTCCGATGTAAAGCAAGGGGGACGTTCTTCCCCCAACGTGCAGTATGGGAAGTACGGGACTAAAGAAGGGCGGGGCTGAGCTTCTCAACTTTCCAATTTTTCAACATGGGGGGTCCTGGGTTGCAGCTTGCAATTTGCAGTATTTCGGCCCGAGGGTCCAGCATTGAGTTCTCCAAGTCCCGACTTTGGACTCAGTCTGTTTTCAACCGCGGAGAGTAGTTTGTTCAATAGTTGAGCAGGCCCACGCTCATGTATCCAACTCTCTGTTTGTTTGTTTGTTTGTTTGTTTGTTTGTTTGTTTGTTTGTGTGTTTCTGTATTCGATACATGCACATATAGATTTTCTTGCATGTTTTAGCTGGCATCTCGGCTCACGCGAAGCGCAGCAGGCCGCGACCGGGGATCCGACGCTCGGGGGCGTCTTCCCTCTACGCCCCCCGCCCGGCTGCCGTCGCGTGGGCGCAGCTCCAGGGGGGGATCGGTTGATGAGATTTCTCTTGATGGTGGCGATCTATAATCCGCTGGGCCTCATCCAGACCTCCAGGTTCGAAGAAATCCTACAGGTGTTGGATGTGGACCTTCTCATCGTGAATGGCACTGGAGTGCGGAAGTGGGATTATCGATATTCTTTATTCAGAATGCGCCATGCCGACGAACAGCAGCGCGCTGCGGTTGGAAGCTCTGCGCTTTCGTGGCAAAAAGCTCGGGCACATGCGTGGTGGTGGGAAGGGGGCTGAGAACCGCATTGTTTCCATCACTCCTGCGCCCCCTGGCTTTGAAGGGCGATCAGGCGACGTGCGCATGCAGCCCGGCGCGTTCGACATTCTGGCGCTGACGGGCAATCCGCCGCCATTGTGCGAGACGGGAGCTTCAAGGCCGGCCCAGGTAAAAAACATCAGCAATGATCGGTTTTCTTCGGCACCAGCGAGATGCAGAGTCATCGGTGGGTTTGACACCAATTCAAGCTACGTTTGCGAGGGCACCGACAGGATTCACCCAAACGAGGAGTACTTTTGCGCGTTGCATCTAAAAGCGGATGGCATCGCATAGCGCAGGTTCGCCACGATTTTACCATCATTGCATATGTCATGTGTCAACAGCTTCTACCCTGCAGCAGGCCCGAATGTTGTTTGGACCCAAGAGCGATAACAACACAATATATATAGATATGTTCATGTTTACACAGGTCTCGTTTCTTCATCCCTCATGGAAGGCATTCCATAATGTATAGCAGACTGGAAGACAGGACTGCAATCTTAATTTTATCTTGATGCTCAGCCTCGCGACCACCGCCCTGTCTTCTTCACGATCGACTCTGAGATGCCCACACATGTTCATAAACTTGGCCGGCCACTCGGGGATTTTACTCGTATCGCTCAAGCCCCGCAACGCGGAAGTGCCATATTGGAGTTTCAGGCTGAGTTCGACCAGCGAATCAATGAGATGTTTTTCGAATTGGCGCAGTAATCAGATTCTTTTTCACCCTGATTGTGATTGCAACTTATGGGCTCGGACGCTCCTCGAAGCCCCCCAGAACCATTTTGGACTTCGTGGCAAACGACAGGGGCATGACGGCCTCCAGCAATGGCGATTCGACCGACTGGCGAAGCTTCGTGAGCGCCGTGAGTTTCGCTGGGGACATGCCCGCCAGTGGCAAATTTACGGGGCCGGTCCAGGGCACCATGAAGAGTATTTCGACCCGCTGAAGACGGACATGCTCCAGCTTGCATGCCAAATCAGACTGGCGGCCCGACGGTGTCATGCTGCCCGTCGCCTTTTTTAATATCGGAAGCTGCTCGCAGCCCGACAATGTGGACGCGCGGCAGATGTGCGTCGGATCGCGCGGCAATTCGAGGGCGACGCAATGGGAGTTAAGAAGGAGGAGGCTCTACTGCCACCTGCCGAGCCATCGCCCCTCGCCGCCTGAATTCCGCGCCCGCGCTGAGGAGAAAGGCGGCGAAGGCGGCGCGGGGGCGCGGTGCATCGACCTCGGCGCTGAAATGACCCAATGCCTCTATGGCGACGACGACGACGACTACCTCCGGACTAACGCGCGTTCTTTTCAGATCGCGGCGGACGCGCCCCCGCGGAAAATGCCGCGGGGAATGCGGAGGGCAAAGAATCGCCGAAGCGCAGCGTGCCCGCCGAGATTGCATTCGCGAGCCTGGGCCCGGCCTACCTCTCTGAGGGCCTGACTGCGCAGGGGGGTCTGGGCTACAATCGAGAACCTGAGGCACCTGGGGCGGAAGCAGACGCGCCGCTGCCAGCGCCCAGTTTCACTTCGGCGAGATCGTAGCAGTTTCTGCAATGACTGGAGTTTAGGCGCCGGCGGCTGGAGAAACGCGGGAGGATCCACGGCGACCCCGTGGTCGAACAAACCTGGGCGACTACGAGGTGGGCCCTTTCGAGGGCGCTGGTGAGCCAGCGGGCCGCGACGACCTTTTCACCGAGACCCACCACGCCGGCGAAGAGGACATGCCACATGGAGTCTCCGATAGGATGGAGGCTCCGCCATCTGGTGGCGAGGCCCGCCGGAGAGCTGGGCGACATGGCCGACTTGAGGCTGCGTCATCATTCGCGACCTCTCGGGCGTGTGTCTTGGACCTTCCCATGCGTGGCTTGCGCGCTGACCAACTTCCGCCGCGCTCGAGCATCGCCGAGGGCAGTTTGTTGGACAAACGGAACAACAGAGACGAGCATGGCCAGCCGGCGCATCATCCACCTCGAGACTCGATATGGATCTTCCATGTCACTCGCAGGGGGGGGGGCGCGAAGAAGCCGGATCAAACGAACGACTTAGTCATTGGCTGGGTTTTCTACCGCGTCGTCGGCGGGAAGGAGGTATTTTAGTGCAGAGACAAACGGGGTGGTCATTGCGCAGACAAAAGTTGGGACACGTCGGCGACCTGCATGACAGCGCCAACGCCTGCCTCTGCCCCCGCACAGGGGACGTGCTGCGTGTGGCCAGACAACTTGCGCGAGAAGATCTCGTGGCTCTGGCCCACCCGCGATTGGTCAATGGCATCGTGCTGTTCCCAGTTGACGGCAGGGGCGAGGAGTTTCTTCGCCGCCGTGGATGACTGCGGGGGCCAGGAGAAGCACCCGCCACAATTTGCTGGAGTTCATCGTGAGACTGGAGCAATATTTCGCAAGACCCCATCATCATGTATGCCGAGATTTTGGGGCACCGTCAGGATGTATCTGCGTCTGGCATCGCAAATGACTTGCCCAGGACAAACGGATCGCGCCGCTCTGCGCGGCCGAGGAAGCTTCGGAAATTATTCGGTCGGGCGACGGGCAGTTCGACTACGTGCATAGGCAGTGGCACTCCGCCCAGAACGAACAAAATCGCCCCCTGCCTCGGATCCGACTTGGAAAGCCGAAAGCTCCTGGGGACTTGCCCCCCGGCCCATGGCAGAGTAGCATCCGATGCTCGTCGCGTGGGGGCTCGCTGCGCCATGGCAGACAACGTGATGTTGGAGATCGCAGTCAGATCCCAAGCGATGACTGTCGGATGGAGCCAAGTTTTGTGGAACGAAGGGGGATTTGTCAAACTCAAGAGAGGTTTTCCTCGGGAAGTCGGTGGAGGTTGGCGTCGCGGGTCTGGGGGTCTCAGTGCTCTTGGAGCACGAGGAGAAACGATTGGGTTCTCGCGCTGTCGAGTACCTGCGCGCCCTCGTGAAAGGTCGGGCCACAACTGTTCCCGCGGGCAAG